TGGCTCCCCTGGGCACCCTTTCTTGTGCTTTACCCCTGTTACCCCTGCACCATTTACCATCCTGTGTGGTCGCTGCAGGTCTGTCTCCCCACCGGACTGTGGGCTTTGAGATCAGGGGTGTGGGACAACACTGCACTCACTCCCAGAGTGACTGAGGAAAGAGTCTTGCTGGTGGGGACCCAGGGCCATCAGAAGCAGGAGCAGAGTTCTCTGTCCTGGTTCACCTGCCTCATTAAACATGGGGTTCAGTTGGCTCTGACATCCCTGCATCATCAGCTAAGGGGGACAGCATCAGAACTATGGCATGGGAGTCCTTGGCCAAGCCACTACACCAGGGAATTAAAGGCCTAGAGAGCCCTGCTTGGGCCAATGCCAGGACTTACGGCCTAAGGGTCAGATAATTTGCCACACGGGCATCGGTTTCCTTATCTGTGAAATGGGAACAATGAACCTGGTCACCTTCCTCTTTCCTGGGAAGAGTATCAAGTTAATGAATGCCCAACACCGGATGTGACTATACCTAAGAGTACAAGCTGCCTGGAGGCAAGGGAATGGCCTAGGTGACTCTGGATTCTCTCCTCCTGCCCAGGACTGAAGGACAGTGTGAGACCCACAATTCAGCTGTAGCTGCTCATTTTGGTCCCCCACCCTGCCCTGGGTGGGTCTTGGCTTGGAAGCCCTAATCAGCGTGCTAAGCACCTACCCCACTTATTCCAACCTGAATTTGCCCAGCCCTGTGCCTTGCCCCCGCAGTGCTATTTCTAGTCCATTGCAGCAAATTGGGTTTCTTTGTCCCTTCTCACACAGCCCTATTCATAGTGCCCCTCCTCTAAGCAGCCTTCTCGTATTAACCTTGGGCACGATGGGTTCATCTGTTGGCATTTGTGAAGAGTTCATGTCCTAGCTGTCCCCCAACTTCTGACCCCCACTCTATCCTGAAGTGGAACTGGGATCATAGAATGTGGTTGTAGGAAAAGCGGGCTCCACCCAGTGGGGAAGATAGATGCAGCTGCCTGTTGCCATGGCAACCAAAAAGCGCGCGCGCACCCCTCTCTACCCCCGCGAGCTTCTTCATTGGCCACTGAGATCCTGATCCCACCTCCGATACTAGAAGGGACCAACTGAAGGCAAACAGAGGGAGACCCTGTTGGGGGATTCGTGGGGGCGATGCGCCTCGCTTCCTGTTCTTCCGCAGGGAAACCCACCCGCACGCGATCCCACTTCTCAGGGCCATTCTGGCTTCGTTGGAGCCGTGTCCGAGAGGGGGCTGGGGTGTGAGCCTGTAGCAGGATGTGTCCTCGGGTGCTGCTGGGTAGAGGCAGACCTGGGTTGTTGGGCTGGGAAGGAAGCAGTGTTTCTAGCCCGCAATTCAGGCCGCCAGCTAGGGCAGAGGGTGAGGGGTGACTACTTGGGGCCACAGCGGAGAGGTCCCCAAGGGCCTCCAGGCGGAGGCGGAGGCGGTGGCAAAGGCGCTTGCGGGGGTGGGGGGAGGAGGCTGCGGTGGAGAAGGATTAGGGAAGGGGGTGGGGAGGATCCCGCTATCAAAAGTCGGCTGGGGCTCCTGGAAGAGGCAGGAGTCTGGGCTTGCAGTCAGATAGGACGCTGGTTCGAATCCCTGCTCAGCTCTTATCAGCAGTGTGACCTTACACACACACGTGCCTTCCTCTCTCTGTTTCGGAGGAGGGGTCAGATCACACTTTACTTTGTGCTGATCCCTGTGTTGAACACCCTAGGAGGTTTCTCTCCCAAATGCCTTCGACACGACGCTGAAGTAGATGGGGACTATCTTTATCTGCATTTTACAAGGGAGGAAACTGAGGCTCAAGGAGGCTACCCTGAGAAAAGCCTCGGGTGAGCTCAATTCCCAAACCTGAGAAGGCTCTGGCAGGCTTGGCGGTTGTCTGGGGGCAAAGGGGTGGTGCGTCCCCACCCCCACCCCCAGGCATCCTGGCCTGCCCGGAAGGAAGCGTCGTGCCAAGCCGTGAGACTTGCGTGGTTTCCTTTAGCAAAACTGCGTCAGACTCGTCTGGGGGTAAACCGCCACTAACTGGTGACAGCGCTTTGATTACAACAGATCAGAAGGGGAAACCAAGCCTTCTCTGCCTTCTCACTTCTCCGGAGAAGTTCCCTTTTCAGGAGACAACAGATTAAAGAAGATAGAGCCCGCCTTCACGGGGAGGGTGTTTGTAACTACTTTTGCACTATCAAAACCGCCCAAGATTACCTCTGGAAGCCTCTGTTTAACAATAACATTCATTTAACTAAGGCTGGTTGAGGTTGAGACTGGGCTTTAAAGAGCAGCCGGATCAGACAGCACTGATGTGTTCCAAGGGAGGGGCTGAGCCAGCAGAGTGGACCCTGGATGTAGCATTAGACAGGACCTAATCTGTGAAATGGGCTTCGTTGGAGTGTGAGGATTAGAAAAAATAACCATGACACTCACAAGAAACTTTCTTGTGCCATGTGTGCTCTGGGTGGGGCAGGTAGCCCTCCCTACACACACACACACACACACACACACACACACACACACACACCAGAATTTCCAAGGACCACACAGTCAGGGAGAGGCTTTTGCTCAGATACCCTTGCAGTTCAGTCCCAGGGGCCGGAGTCAGAATCAGTAACAAACACTTACGGAGCACCTAAAAATTGATGGTTTTTTTAAAAGAAAAATTTTAAGTTTATTTATCTTTGAGAGAGAGCAAGAGAGAGAGCAGGGGAGGGCCAAAAAAGGGTGGGGGGAGAGAATCCCAAGCAGGCTCCCCCCTGTCAGTGCAGAGTCTGACCTCAGGAACAGGGAGATCATGAGCCAAAATCAAGAGTTGGATGCTTAACTGACTGACCCACCGAAAGCACCCCCAAACTGATGTTTTTGAGTGCCTAACATGCGTGAGGCTTTATATTGTGTTGAACCCTGATCAACTCTTTTAATCATTCCAGAACAACCCTTCTTTTCTCCTGAAAAATACTGTTAACAGTTATCCCCATGTTGCAGATGAGCAAACTGAAGTTTATAGGAAAGAAAGTTCACCATGTGAATTTCAGACTTTGATGCAAGTAACAGAAAACTGGACTCAAACTAGTTTATGCTAAGAAGGGAATTTGCTAGCTCAGGAAACTGAAAAATCCAAGCATGACTTGATCTGGAGACTCCAAAATGTGATAAAGACAGAATCTCTCCACTTTGCCTTTGCCATCTTGGTGCTGTGTTTGGGCTCCATGGGTAGTCTTCTGCAACTCCAAGTTCACATCATCCTGAGTCCTAGTTCTGTAGAACTGTATTAAGAGTCTCTTCTGTAGAAAAGAGGGTCTCAGTAATTGCGAGCCAAGTCCCAGGATTTACTCTAATTACACATGCAGACGCTAGTTAGGGGTCATGTGACAACGCTTACAAAAGGCACTGCCCAGAAAGATTCAGCAAGATTCAGTGCTGATAGGCGGCCTGGCCACATGCAGCCTCTTCTGTACCAAGGGGCAGAAAGGAAAGGAGGGAGAAATGTTTCTCCCAAAGAAGAAGGGAAAAGGTGGGGAATGGGTGCTAACAGCTGGCTTGACCTGTGTCTTCCACGCTGAGGTCATAAGGTGACACGGTTGAGAAGAGTTAGGACAGGAATTGAGTCCTGGCATTCTGACTCCAAAACCCACGACCTGACCTCCCCCACACCTTCTACTATAGGTGCCAGCCTCTTGCTAAGCACCTAGTAGAGAAAACAGATGCGGAAGGTAAGGCCTTTGCCCTGGGAGAGAGCCCAGCCCTGCTTCTTTGGTCCCAGGTCAGTCCTTATCACATCTGGTACCCATCCCCACCTCCCACCCTGGCCGCTGTTGTTTCTGGAGGGTCCTAGGAGCCTTATCTGATAGCTGGGTCACGGGCTATTGCCTGCCATGCTACAGAAGGCCTTCCACGTTTAGCTGGAGTACACATTGTCCTGGGGTCCAGTTGCTTCCTGGTTCTCCAAGCAGAAGGGAGATTCTTTGGGGACTAGGACTATGTTCTCCCTTCCCCTGTATGTGGTCCCTCTGTGGGACCAGGCAGAATTTGTGCAGTAGGTAGCAGTGGTGACTTTGAGGGGCCCTAAGAAGGCCCTTCTCTACCCCCTAGGGACCTTCTTTACTGTAAAAAAAAAATTCCAACAGTAGATGGGATTTCATCCCTTTAATTCCCCTTAAGATTCACATTCCCCTGAGAGAGGGAGCCTAGTAGGTCTTACCACTCATTCACACTTTAGTGAGAAGTTCACAGAATCTTTCCCGAGGGCAGTCTTTGTTATCAAGGCTGTTGACTGAGTGCCTAGTATATGATGGTCTGCTGATTCAAGAGCTTCTCTTGCATTCTCTTATTTAATCCTCACAACCTGTGAGGTGGGTACTCTTATTGAACCTGTTTTACAAATGGGGAAACTGAGGCCCAGAGAGGTTAAGAATTTGCCCAACGTCTTCAAGTAGTGGAACAGGGATTTGAGTCCATGAAGTCTGGTTCCAAAACCTACACTCTCCATCACTCCACTGAAATAATCCCTAACATTTTTCAGTTTACAAATATATTCCATATCAGGGGTGTCTGGGTGACTCAGTTGGTTAAGCATTCAACTCTTGGTTTCTGCTGAGGATATGATCTCATGGTTCGTGAGTTCAAGCTCTGCATTGGACTCTGGCTTACAGCGAGGAGCCTGCTTGGGATTCTCTCTCCCTCTCTAGCTCTTCTCCTTCCTGCTCTCTCTCTCACATGTGTTCACCTCTCTCTCTCTCTCTCTCTCTCTCTCTCTCTCTCTCTCTCCCCCGCTCTCTTTCAAAATAGATAAATAACCTTTAAAAAAAAAACAAATATATTCAATTCATCTTTTGGACTTCCCTTCAGCAATGTTGTTAGTATAATCAGCCTCATTTTATAAAGGAGAATATTGAGGAGGTGAATTTCAGTCAATAGATGAGCGGCAGATCCAGGGTCTGAGCCCATATTCTCATCTGAGATCAAGTCTTTTCCCTGGACTCCGCATAGCACACAGTGAGAGGAGCCTTGGGTCAGCTCCCTGGTGTCCTGGGGACAGAGGGAGAGTGTGAGGGGCCATGGAAGCTGGGAGCTCCCAGAACAATCCTACTCCTTCTTCCCTTCCTCCCTTGCTTCCTCCCTCTAAATGAAGTGTCTAGCAGTGAGCTGGAGATTGGACAACAGAAGGAGTAAAGATGCTTCAGGGACTATCTGGCGATTGTGCAGATTTTTCATGAGAGGATTAATAAACTAAGAACTTTTATGTGTCTGGTTGTTTGAAAAAAAAAAATCCCTGTGACCTCCGAGGAGGGGTCTCCCCTTGACTATGTGGACTTGTCTGATTTCTCATTCAGAGGACAGACCTTCAACTGTATGAAGGCAGTTCTCACGCACGTCCTCCAAGGAAGTTTGCTTTCACCCTACGTTTCCCACTTTTCCTTCATAACTTCTGGGTCTTTTCCTATGACCTGTGTCAAGGCAAGTTATCGTCCTCTTTGACAGTCTGATGGTCCCTTGACTTGTTTCCAGAGACCCCGTCCTATGTTTGTATCCAAGGATCTATACAGTGGAGGATTAGAATTTTCGATGAAATTTTGTAAAATTTGAAAAAAAAAGTCCTTCTCTTTCTTCCCTCATTCCTCCCACTCATTCATTCAGCCACCTGAGCACCTACTAAGGGTGAGGGCTATGGGTAAGCAGTGACCAAAACAAGTGTTCCTTGTGTTCTCACAGGGTTGATAGTCTACCAAACAAATAGGGGTGTCTGGCTGGCTCAGCTGGTGAAGCAACTTGATCATGAGTTCATGAGTTGAAGCCCCACATTGGGTTTGGAGATTACTGAAAATAAAAATGAAAAACAGATGAACAGGTATCACTTGCTATTTTTAGTTTTTGTTTAAATTTTTTTGCTTTTTTTTTTTTTTTTTTTTTGACAGAGAGAGAGAGAGCGGGAGAGGGGCAGAGGGAGAGGGAGAGAGAGAATCTTTTTTTTTTTGTTTTAACATTTATTCATTTTTGAGACAGAGAGAGACAGAGTGTGAGGGGTGGGGGGCAGAGTGAGGGAGACTCAGAATGTGAAGCTGCCTCCAGGCTCTGAGCTGTCAGCACAGAGCCCAACGCAGGCTCAAACCCTTGAACCGTGAGACCATGACCTGAGCTGAAATCCAATGCTTAACTGACTGAGCCACCAAGATGCCCCAAGAGAGAATCTTAAGCAGGCTCTGCACTTGGTGTGGGATCATGACCTGAGCCAAAATCAGGAGCCAGATGCTTAACTGACTGAGCCACCCAGGCGCCCCTACACTTGCTGTTTCTTGAGTGTTTATAGTGAGTAGGGCCCTGTGCTAGGTGCTGAACATGTATCATCCCCAGAGCTCACTTTCTCGGGCAGAAGACTGGGGCTTAGGAAGAGCTAAGTGCATTATTTCATTTAATATGACTCCAGGCTGACTCCAGAGTCCAAGCATCTCACCAGTGGAGTAGACTGCCTCCCTCTTGGGGTGTAGTGAGTATCCAGATACTTACAGAGTGAGGAGTGTGTGTGTGTGTGTGTGTGTGTGTGCAGGTGCACGTGCACACACACACACACACACACACACACACACACACAGAGCCCTGGCTCTGTGACTCCAGAGGCAGCCATTTCTGCTGTCTCCAGCACCCTCCTTCTACCCCAAGCCTCACACCAAACAGGAGCTGAGTAGGAAAAGGCCATCTCCCAGGGCAGGGATAGGCTAGCACTCCAGGACCTCTGAATGGAAACCCTCCAAGGAAATGGAATGAGAGTGATCTAACCAGAGGTTCTGGAAGAAGACCTCACTCATTCTCCCTGGGCAGCCTTTCAGCATGACTGGCTTGTGCCTTGGTTTCCTCTCTTGTAAGTTGACCTGCTCACAGGCTATGTCTGAAGTATTATCCATCAGAAACTTCTAGAACCAGCTAGCTGCTTCATCCTCCTGCTTTCTTTCTTTTCTTTTTTTTTTTTTTTTTTTAATTTATTTGGAGAGAGACAGACAAACAGAGAGACAGAAGGGTAGGGACAGAGATAAAGGGAGAAAGAATCCTAAGCAGGCCCCAAGCTGTCAGCACAGATCATGACTTGGGGCTCCGTCTCACAAACCGTGAGATCAGGACTTGAGGCGAAATCAAGAATCAGATGCTTTACCATCTGAGCCACCCAGGTGCCCCCTCCCTGCTTTCTGACCTGGTACTGCCAGGTTCTTCATAGGGATTATGTTTCCCATTTTACAGATATGGAAATGAAGCTCAGAGAGGCTGGCCCACAGCCACCTAATGAGTGTTAGAAATGCAGTGAAAACCCACCCAGGTTTTGAATCTGTTGCCCCAACAAGTATTTACTACACACTCAACTGGATGCCGGAATCCGAGCTATGTCCAAGAGATATAGCAGGGAGCAAGGTGGGCTTGTCCTACCTCTAGGAGCTCCAGGTTCAGGAGAGGTGACAGACAAGAGAGGAAATATTAGAAACGTTGGCAGGGCAAAGTGACAGGAGCAAAAAGACTTCTGGCAGGACAGAGGACAGAGGTGCCCTTGGGGCTGTCTCAGCTCCCACATTTCGGAGGACCCGGCAGAGCAAAGGTTTTAGGGGCTGGGGAGCTGAAGTGGGAAAGGCTGGGGTCTGGGGTCAGCAGTCTTGGCTCAAGTCGGGGGAGGAGTTGGAGCTGCCCCACCCCAAAATACTCACACTCCACCTGCCTCGAGTTTCTACCCCAACAGTTTCCTTGTCTGGGGTGGTTTCCAGCCCCACCTGCTTTCCTGGAGTCCAGTTGATCTATCACTCCTGCCAGGTGTGTACCTGGTGCCTAGTGTCACTCTGAGTAATTCCGGAGACCCAGGTGTCCTCACCTGCTCCTGATTCAGTTTGACTCACCCTATTTCTGGAAGGTGGCTCTTGGCTGTTCTCACCTCATGCTTGGGGCACCTGGGGCCTGTGGGAGCAGCAGATCCTCCTCCCCACTCCTCATTGTTAAACTGGTCGGTGCCACGCAGGGGAAATGGGGGAGCCCTGAGGAGGGAGCCCTCACCCACCCAGGATTAACTCCCTCCCTCTACAGCCCAGTTCCGACATCTCCTTTCTAGTGATCACCAGTGTTCTTCCTGTTCTTAACAGGGAAGGAACATTACCTAGGAAGAATAGCTCATGTCAAGTGATCATTTACTATGAGCTGGGCAATCGGTACACATCATTAGAGTCGCACAACACTCCATTATTGGTTTTTATTTTCCAGGATGAGGCAACCATAGCTCAGAGAGGGGACTTGTCTTGGCTAAGGTCACATAGCAAGGAATTGGCTGAAGTGGGATTGGAACCCAGGTATAGTTGACCTCTGAGTTATTTCACCAGGGCCACACACCTGACCCCCACCCCTTCCCCTGGAAGATGGAGATCATTCCACCTGCCAGGCTTGAACCTGCTCAGATCCAGCCTCATGCACCCCTAGGATCCTTTGCAGTGGTGCTGGGGCGGGGTGGGGGGGGTGTTGGATAGGAACTCTGAGAGGAGGCACCATTTGCTCAACCCAGGGAGCTGAGGGCCATCACTTCCTTGATGGGGAGAAGCCCAGACCTACAGAGCATCCATAGGAAGCACCCCCCTTATGAGTGGGACAGGCCTGTGCTGCTTGGTGGAAGTCGTGGCCTGTCATCCCTCTTCATATAGATGGGCCCAGGCCGGCCACCTCAGTGTACCCTCCTCTTTCCCTCCCACAGCTGGTCACCAGGTGGTTCCACATCCCTGCCCCTGGACCCACCCCCCTTCCTACCTTCACACCAGATAAGGCCGTTCCGGGGGCGCCTGGGTGGCGCAGTCGGTTAAGCGTCCAACTTCAGCTCAGGTCACGATCTCGCGGTCTGTGAGTTCAAGCCCCGCGTCGGGCTCTGGGCTGATGGCTCGGAGCCTGGAGCCTGCTTCCGATTCTGTGTCTCCCTCTCTCTCTGCCCCTCCCCCGTTCATGCTCTGTCTCTCTCTGTCTCAAAAATAAATAAACGTTAAAAAAAAAATTAAAAAAAAAAAGATAAGGCCGTTCTGCTCAGAGCTGTGCTATCCAGTAGAGTGGCCACAAGCCCCACGTGGCTGTTGAGCACTTGAAATGTGACTAGTGCTGCCGAGGAACTGAATTTTACATTTTATTTAATTTTAATCCAGTTACATTTAAATTTAAAAATTGATAACGCCGTTGGGGTGCCTGTCTGGCTCAGCTGGTAGAACACGTGACTCTCGATCTCAGGGTTGTAAGTTCAAGCCCCACAATGGGTGTAGGGATTAGTTAAAAATAAAATCTTTTTACAAAATGGATAATGTAGTTATTGGAAAACATTTAAATATGTGTGGAATACCTTGGGCATGTGAATCTACTTTTTCAAGTGCAAATTTTATAAAGTCTAAGTAGAGACCATTTTCTGATGAAAATTTAGCAAGTACTGTAAGTATAAACTAGGCCCCAGATTTTGAACACTTAGTAACACAAAATGTAAAACGTATCTCATTAATATTTTTTGCACAGCATAGCAAATAAAATATATTATTAAAATTGATTTCACCCGATTCTTTTTTTAATGTAGCTACTAGAAAGTTTTTCAATTACTTATGTGACTCATATTCTATTCCTATCAGACAGTGCTAGCCTAGAGGTTAAATGTGTGGGTTCAAATCCTGGCTCTGTGTGTCCTTGAGCAACTTAACCAAACTCTCTGCGCTTCAGTTCCTTACCTAAAAGACAGGGATAACAATAGCACCTCCTTCAGAAGAACACGCTAGATAATGTTCGTAAAGCACTTAGCCCAGTGCCTGGCATACAGTACTGCTCCGGGGAAAACAAAACAAAACACTGTAGGCTTCCTTTTAGCATAACACTCCAAGCGTGGTTCAGTTAAACTCAGTCATATTTATTGAGGGTCTGCTACCTGCCAGGCTCTGGGGATTCCATGGAGAGCGAGCCCTCTGCTCTCCCAGAACCCGCCATCTAGGAGGGAGGCTGCTGCTTAAAAGAAATGGGGGTAAGGGCAGGTGGTGGTGAGTGCGGGGGGCGGGGGGAAGAAAATGGAACACGGAGATGTGCTAGAGAGAGACTCCGGCTGCTTCTGCAGGGGAGGCTGGGGAAGCCTGCAGGGGACATTTGAACTAAACCTGACTGACAAGGAGCCAATCAGGTGAAAGTGAGGAGAGGGTGTCCCCGGCAGAGTGAGCAGCTTCAGCGCAGAGGCCACAGCACGAGTGCCTGCGGCGGCTGTACAGACATTTCTGT